GACCAGAACTCATATTTACTGAAGTACCATCAAGAAAATTCATGCAAAAAAGCATTAAAAATTGACAGCATGAAAATCCTCATCAAGACTAGTTTCCTAATAACCAAGGAAAATGGTCACCAATTTGAGGAATTTTCTATAGCCCTACCACCCTGAATGGGCAGGTTCTCATCCAATTGTAGAGGCTAAGCAGGGTTGGGCCTGGTTAGTACTTGAATAGGAGACCAATTCCAGAAACTTTTAAAGTGTTGATGCTGACTGTGGTGACATCATTTACTTTTTGGAAGTAAGATGGCTAGGTCAAGGCCAAATGTTGAAAAGATTTTATGATTTGAAACATGTTATCAGACATTTATGGTGTTAAAAACAATTTTTTTTCCAAATTATGATGAAAGCCAGCTTACAGACTTAACATTTTTAGTGGATTTAACCACTTATGTATTTAAGTGAGTTAAACATGTCTTCAAGGTGAAATCCAACTTATCAATATAGTGTTTCAAATCATAACAGAGGGTTTAGAGAGATGGCTCAGCAGTTAAGAGCACTGGCTGCTTTTGCAGAGGACCTGGGTTCAATTTCTAGCACCCACATGGTGGTTAACAACCATCTGTAACTCCATCCAGTTCCAGGGGATCCAATGCCCTCTTCTGACCTCCAAGGGCATTGCATGATATGGATGCACTTACACACATGCAGGCAATACACTCATACACATACAAATAATAATGAAAATTCAAATCATAACAGAATTCCAAATAAAACTGAAATTACGGCAAGCTCAAATTAAGGCAATTGCATGCATTCCAACATATTGGCTAAATACAGTCCTGTGAACACTGAAAATGTACAACTTTACTTTTAAATTTGATACAGAACTTGAAAATGGATTTCAACATTCACAGGAAAATAATCAGTACTTTAATGTATTTGCAACTCAAATTTGAGTCCATGTAAATATGTCACCGGCCAATTTTCAGATGGAATGTATATTGCTGTGTTAGCTGAAGGAAAAACTTGATAATGCCTATTTACTAAACTTTTATAGGTCCTGTCTCTCCAGTGTATCTCTCGTTTCACAATCGCCACTGTTCATGTCTTGGTTTTTTGGCTGCACCTACATTTGTGAGCAACTGTTTTCAGGAATGAAGTACATTGAAAATAAAATTAGAGCAAAAAAATATCTGATGAACATATGGGAACTCAGTCAGAATTGCAACTACCATATTTTCTTCCAATCGGATATTGATGCATTAGATTCCCAAA